CCCCCCCCCCCCCCCCATTGAAAAGTTATTTTATCAGGATTTCAACGGTATTTTCTGTTTTAAAGGGGGGTGAATACCCGCTGAGATATTTATGTTATAAACAATCGAGTTGTAAAGAGTATTTTGAAAAATCGCGCATTATTACATTGGACGCGTTTGATGTCTTTTGGAATGAACGGAAAATACAAAATTGAGAAAAATTATCACTAATGTCAGAAATAATATTCCCACTCAAAATATGATCATCTAACGTATTCACGAATATGTTATCAATTAAAGTTGCAGAGTTATTATAAACTCTAGTAGGTTTGTGTACAGTTGGTGTTAGATTAAGGCTCTGAAGAGAAATTAGGAAGTTCTGTGCATAATTACACGATTCAAAGCAAAGATTTATATTGATGTCACCCATTATGGAAATTGTCTTGCCTGAATGACTAAATTTTTTCAATGGTTTCTTCAAAATATTTCAAAAATGACTCAGGGGAATTATGTTGGCAATATATTATGCCACATATAATGTTAGACCTTTTTGCTAAAGAAATCTTGATCCACAATGCCTGAAAAGCTTCATTTGAGATATTTTCAACAACAGTATACTTTAAGCAGTTGTCAATATACATACCAACGCCTCCTGCATTCTGAGGTGTAGGTACAAACTCGAAATTCTAATTTGGTATGTCCATGTTAAAATCAAGTGGAATATCCAAATTTTTTATCCTCGTTTCAGTAATTCCAATTACACTGAAGTGACAAATTTAGTTCATTTAGCAAGTGACTTTGAAGGTTTTCACCATTCTGTTTCAAGTTTCTTATGTTATTATGGATCAGCAAAAACTAGATTCATTAATAATAGATTTTGCAATTGACTAAAAGAATGTGAAGAATAATAATTACTTCTAATTGGACGCAACGATAGATTGTAGTCTGGATTTATATTCATATAAGAGTTTAAGCTGAACAAGTCTAAGTCATGAATACTAGTGTGACGATCAAGGGATTTCTTTGTTGGTAATTAGATATATCCCCAAATTCATTCACACTAATATTTACGCCATAATGTAGTTCTCGAAGTATTGCGTTATTTGTAGCTCTTTCTTGACTACTCGAGCACATCATCATTATCCTTATTAAGATTAATTACAATAATACTATAATCACTAAACAATTAACTCATCATTTTGATTTTGGGACAATACCTGGAGAACACTCTGGTCATTTACTTTGATCGGTCGACTATTCTCTGTTTTCCTTAGGAAGACAATTCCGCTCTTCGTCCAACAAAGTCCGTACCCATAATTATGTGGTTTGAAATACTTTAGTATCTGACAGGAGTTGTTGATTCTTGGGTGTAAGATGGTCTACAATTCTCGCTTCTGTGAGAAGTGAATTTATTTATTTATTTACAATATTTGTCAAATAAATGACAGGTTATACCCACACAGCAGAACACTCCTTTGCGGGTAACCTTAACTATTTATACAGAATACATATAAGTGATAATTATTTATAATATATATATATATAAATGATAATTATTGATTTAACAGAGAGACTAGACAAGGGACGACATGAATGGCATTTAACACAGATTGTTTTGAATGTTTGTGGCACACCAATATCATAGATTTCTTCAGACATTTTCTGATAGTGACTAAAGAGATTACATTTAAATTGATTAATAGAGAGATTTGATTGACGTAAAACTGATGGTAAACAGTTAAATGTCCTAGAAGATCTGCAATAAAAACTGTTTTGAAATGTTAATGTATTTATACGGGGAATATGTAATGTAATTTGAGCTGTTCCACTGTTTTCCCTGGTCACACGACAAGTTGTCTTTATTTGGATGTTCCGGTCCTGGGATGAAACAAGCATTTTGTACAGATAAATGATATCAAGATATTCATGCCAGTACGACAGTGGCAACAGACCAGTTCTTATGAGTCTCTCTTTGTATGATATTCCCAACATGAATGGTAATGATAGAATATATCTGGTTGCACAGCGTTGAATGTTTTCAATTTGAAGTATCAGTGATACTGATTGTGGTGACCAGACGTGTGTACAATAAGGCAACTGACTTCTTACCGTGGTCTTGTACAGAGCAAGGCGAGTTTTCTCATTCCGGATGTCCAATGAAGATCTTTTGATGTATCCAAGCATTTTGTTAGCTTTGGCAGAGACCATAGACACATGCTGGTTCCATTTCAAATCGGATGAGATCACAACACCGAGATCTTTCTGAACATTTGTTTTGCTGATTGGGATGTCCTTAGGGAGGTAGCTGAACTTTACTGGCTTAATATTTCTAGTCACAGAGAGAACTTCACATTTAGATTTATTTACGTCCATTCACCATTCTTGGCACCATTCATTAATACCATCCAGATCATTTTGGAGATACTGAGCGTCTTGTAAAGTTCTGACTGTACGATAACATGTAGTATCATCAGCGTAATGTTAGTATCATCAGTGTACACTGCTATAGAAGATGACGATGTTGCATGAGGAAGGTCGTTCACGTAGACAAGAAACAACAAAGGTCCAAGTATTGAACCCTGTGGTACGCCAGAAAGTACAAGGAGTGGATGAGAGGTTTTTCCAAGCGCGGTTACTCTTTGATGGCAATTTGAGAGGTAGTCTTCAAACCAATTCAACAGTGTTCCGCTGATTCCAAAATTCTTCAACTTATTGACCATCAGTCGATGATCAACTCTACTATAATTTCCAGATAAGCCAATTTTCATCGTGCTCACTTTGCAGATATCTCGCCGTTTTTCCATCACTTTTTCTCTGGCGATATGCCTTGTGAACTTACAAATAATTGGTCTCTGGCTACCACACTTTCTTGCTGGAACACGGTGGGCAATATCGATATCTTGAATCGTAATATCAGCACCAATTTCTTTAAGAAGATTTGCACAGGCAGTACTTGTTTCTATAGCGGATTCTCTTCATCCAGATTCTGGTATACCGATCAATTTTACGTTATAGCTATAACTGTACTGTTCAAGGTCATAGATAGCACTTGAGATTTTGTCAACATTTTCGGTCAACATTCTCTCAGTCTAGTATTCAAGGCTGAGAACTTTTGTTTTGCAGTGGCACGGAAATTGTTTAACTCGTCGTATTCATGACTCATAAATTCCAGGCTTTTTACTGTTTCAGCATCTGGAGAGGTGTGGTTTCCTTCGACTTTGCAATGGCTGACTCGCGACTTTCGAGACCCGCTTCAAGTCATTTAAAATCGCTTTTGAGAGCCTCGATCATTATCTTCAAATGCTCATTTTCTTTCTTCAATGATTTTACAGTTGGTTGTGCCATAATTTAAGATAATATATATATTTAAGTTAACTGTTTAAGGGAAAAAAAATTCGCGGAGCTTAGAATCGAACGCCCCCTCTGGATGTTACTACAGTGAAACGATAGTTAACTTGATTAAAATTACTGATGAAATGTGCAGTTCTCACAACAGTTGTGAATTAACCAATCGGAGAATCGCTACTCCACGCTATGTGACGCTATTGAAAACAACTACAAATGTGAACAGAATTTGATCTCAAATTCGCGAAAATATACAGCGAAAATACAGAGAGTTTTTCGATAATATATACAAAATTTGAAATGGAACACCTGCTAAACAGAGAGTCAAAGTAGTTTTGAAGATTCTCGACCTGAATGAATACTTGAAGATTGCGAAGCATTTGAACTTTGAAGCGACTAGTGAGAGATGTTGTACTTGCCATGATCTGATGAATTTCAACGGTACACATTGCTACTTGCTGGACAGCAATGTATCGATCAGAAATTTATTCATACAACTAAACCAATGTCTCAATAATTGCAAACTTACTTCAAAGTCGAAAGGTATCATACAATGAAACTTTACAATGCGAGTATATTTGTAAAATTATGTCCAAGAATTTCTGTTCAGAATTTTGCGTGCAGGATGGTCTAATTCTGCATTCAAATTGCATGTTTCACTGTAGTTATTATATAATTAATGTTTACAAATTTTGTTGCTTTAACTTTTTGCCTAAAAACATGAACTGTTTTCCTTCTCAACAAAGCTCTAAGTTTCATGAATTACCTGTTAATTTGAGAAAAAATCTTAAAATGTAAAGGAGAACAAATTGATTTGAAGACTGAACTGAACAATTTGTTTTATTTGTATTCAACTTATTATGTTTTATTAAGTAAAAACTGTTTATCGACAAATGTAGTTTAGTTGAATGAACATTTCAAGTTAAATTTTACTTTAAATCAAAGCTCGCAAAATGCAAAATAACATACCCTACAGTATATATTTTGGAAATTTATTGTTGTACACCTTATTATACGAAATTAACGATGTACTTTATTAACACGGATTTTAAAAATTCGTGTTAATTAATGTTAATTTATGTTATTGTTAATTTCAAGCATGCAAATTTTAGTTATCGTTAATTAAGAAGACCTTGATTTGTTTTATATAACATATTTAACTCAAAATGCATCATATTAAACCTCAAAACAAAAACATCAGTCCACCTCTTCACTGTCACTGTCACTATCTTAAGCTGAACTATATATATTTATATACATTGGCTTAAATGACTGTAACTTTCAATGTTACAGTTTTGATATCTACTTGCATACTGTTTTAATTGGTAGTATATAATACTTTTGCTGTCGTGTTTATATTCTTCGACTTGTGTTAGTTAAATTAACTTGTTAACCATAAACTGTCAAATTTGCATTAATTTAATCAGTTTTTGAAGTACCTGAAAGCAATTCATGTTAATTAGATGACACATTAATTTACGTCTCATTAATAAAGTGCATCGTTAATTTCCCATAATAAGGTAGTAAAAGTACGAATCTTGCAACTATTTTGCAGTTTTGTACAAAAAATATTTTAAAAATTAAGAATATTGTGTTGTCATGGCAACACTTGAGCGCAAGCCTGCATTGAAGTGTTGGCCATTACTGTTAATTTAATGTTTGGAAAATATTGGCGAGGGGTTACTGCATGCATGCATTTCTAGTCAGTATTGATATAAGCATAAATAGTGTACTCATTTTAAATTGCAGGCTCAAAGCAAAGAACATTAGTGTTAAGTGGAGGAAACCTTGCTACTGGGCCTGCTATTGTGGTATGTAATAAATTGTCTGGGACCTGCTCAACCATGGCAGACACCAAGGGGTGTGAGCAAGGGGTATAATTTCTCAAATTCTATGAATATGACATGTGGACTGTGTTCGCTGCATTAGTGGTTTTTAATATTGCAAAAAATATTATAGTAGTCGCAAAGCAAGCTTAGCAACTGCAGACCTTCCAACTCTCACGCATTTTGCGTGAGACACACGCATTTGACATATTTCTCACACTCACACGCATGAAGACTATTTTCTCACGCAAAAGCGAAAAAGTAGGAAGCGATCCAACTTTTGTTTTAATGCTTCTCTTCGCAAGAAAATATTCCTATGTAGCTGAATCAATAGCTATAAAATAAAGTATTTTTCGAGCAGTTGCGGTATAACGTATAGTGTTGCGTAAGTTGGACTATTGCGCAAGTTAGTAAATTGACACTTAGTTATTGAGGGATTCCCCCAGACAACGCTTTTTATGTAAAATATAAACTATAATCTTATTAATTTCGCGTGATGAATTAGCATTATTTGCGTGTAGGCATGATAACGCATTTTGTGGTATGCGCTCCCTTCCCGCACCTCCCTTCCTTTACGTAGAAAATGAATAGTCATAGTTAAACGCCCACATTAGGTGGAGAGTATAAATGTAGAGAAAGTATCATAAAAATATCATAAATAAAATAGATTATAACTGGATGTGTCGTTAATGTGTTATTGAGAATCTCGCTATACAAAAAATAATGGCCGAAACTTCGAGTGATTGCGGCTGAAAGAAAGCAAAAGTTGCACTCTTAAAAATAGGTGTGCTTAACAACACACAACTTGTGTTGTTAAACACATTGTGTGTGTTACAACAGCACACGTTGTGTACTAAGCTTGATGATCTTTACATTTTAGCACACCTTAATGTGTTCGTTAACACACAAGGTGTGCTAAATAGCACAGTGCGAAACGGCAGTGTGTCTTGCAACACACCATTCATCTAACACACCTTTTGGAAAAACACACCTTTCAGACCAAGGGTGTGTTATTGTAGCACACAGTTTGAATATAACACACCTTTGGAAGAGAACACACCTTGAGAAATAGCACACCTTTTTCGGAATAACACATCTTTTTGAAACAGCACACCTCATTAAATCCGAATTGACACACCTTATGAAAATAGCACACCTTGGAATTTAGCACGCCTTATTCAAACAGCACACCTTTCTAATATAACACACCTTTTAATAACACACGTTTTGGCGAAACACACCTTTCAGACCAAGGTTGTGTTATTGCGGCACACAGTTTGAAAATAATACACCTTTGAAGAAAACACACCTTGAGAAGTAGCACGCCTTTTTCCGAAATAACACATCTTTTTCTTAAACACGCCGTATGAAAATAGCACACCTTGTAAAATTAGCACGCTTTATTCACACAGCACACCTTTCTAGCGTGCGTGCATATATAAATTACTGTATAACTATAAGAAAATCAACAGAGATATTGTTATACATAAAGTATTTAAATGTTGATGGTGGTTTAGGAGAACGAAGACAGAAACATGTATTTAAATTTATTTAACTTTGCCAAATAAGTTAAATAACATGCGACATTTACAGTAAAAATTTCAAGGTTCAAATTTAAGATGTTAAAATACACCTATCTGGTGTAAAGTAGAAACATAGTTATAAGTCATAACAATTATTCATACCTGATTTGCAGATTACATTTAAATTCCGCACAGGGGGGGGGGGGTGGTGAAGACCAGTGGCGGAAATTCACTTTTTTCCGGTGGGGGGGCAAAGCCTCCTAAATTTACGACAAAACTTTCAAATTTCCGACGTACCCTCCCCCCCCTCATTTGCACTCGAAAAGACTGTTTTTAGCCCTCTTTTAGGTCACAATTTCCGAAAATTCGTCAATTTTCCGTGAAGGTGGGGGGGGGGGCGGTCGCCCCCCCGCCCCACCAAGATTTCCGCGATTGGTGAGGACAATGGAAAATCCAGTGGAGGGGTGTAAAAAAGGCCTTGGAAAATCCAGGGGTAGGGGTGATTAGAGACCAAAATCCAGGCTCATTTCCAGAGAAGGGGGTTATAAACTAAATTCCAGGTAAATTTAGCTGGTAAAAAGATGTCCTCAACCCTCCCCCCCCCCTCCCCAATATGCAAAAAATAAATGCAATCTGCCATTTTGGTGTCAGTGATGACAGGAAAGTGTGCCGTGGTAAACAGTAAAAATATGCAGTGGAAAAAATTGTGTGGTGATAACAAAACCAACTCAAACTTTCAAAATTAATTTAAATCATAATAATCATTTTATCGAAATTAATTGGCCTGAAACTGAGTTTATAATTATCCATTTCCAGCAAAATATCCTGGAGGGAGAGGGAGAGAGGGCGGAGGTCTAGCTTCCAGAACTAAAATTCATGAAATATGTTCATGTAAGAAAGATATCGAGAGATATAAGAAGACAGCTAGAGTTTTGAAGTAATTTTAAAAGAGTTCCTGTCAAAAAACAGAATTACAGGTCTATTTGCGCTGGATTGGTCACATGATTGAGATCAGTGCCTTCAGCCAATCGCGTTGCCATATATGGCCTCCCAGAAGGCTTAGCGCGAGCACATTTCGAGCGCGTCGTTTGGAAATTTTATTTTAACGTCGGTTGATATGGTCAAGATTTCTTAAAATATTGAAGAAAATAAGAAGGAATACTCCATTGTTTGAAGATTCAGACAATAATATTAAATGTAAGTGTTCAACTATGTCAATATTTTAAAGTTTCGTGTGTAAGTATGTGCCATAAATAGTAATATATCCCTGTATATTTTAACCGCCCTTGCCGTTGGCTGCATTGGCATATTGCATTTAAAATCCGTACACCCCCTGTTGAGGACACACTGTTCGAATATCTGCCCCCCTGGAATTCCATGTCATTTCTTCTCTTAGGCCCTGGAATTCCACAAGTTTTTAATAAATTACCCTTGGAAATCTGCTATGTTTTACATTCCCCTGGATTTCCTTGCTATGTTTTGTCTTACCCCCTGGAATTCCAAGCATTTTAAATCAATTACCCTTGGAAATGTGCCATTTTTTCATCCCTCCCTGGAATTTCCAGCGTAAATAAGTGACTTTTGAACACCTCCCCCTGGAATTTCTAGCAAAAATAAGCAAATTTTGACTCTCACCCCCTGGAATTTCCAGAGAAAATAAGAGTTTTGACCCCACCCACTGGAATTTCCAGCGAAAAAACACGAGATTTGGCCCCCACCCCCTGGAATTTCCAGCGAAAATAAGTGAATTTTGACCCCACCCCCTGGATTTCCAGCACAAAAAATGGAGGTCAACCCCTGGATTTCCAAGGTCCTCAACAGGGGGTGTACGGATATTAAATGCAATATGCCATTGTGTTTTGTATTTGGTTCAACAATATATTGTTATTAAAATACATTAAAACTCTGTGATATTGCTTTGTATTTACAGACTATAATTTCAAGCAATAAATACTATCATAATGTGTAATTCCAAGCAAGTATACAGGCTACAAGAAGGTATGAAATATACAGTAGATAGCACAAAGGAAGGATTGTTCTATCATACAAAGCCATAGAACTTGCTTTGGCGATTATATCAATATTAGCTAAATGAGTCAATATTGATACCCTGTCAATAGATCAATACATTAACAATATAAATATTATGTATATATCCTTCCTTTGTGTTTATATCTATATTGTGCCATCATAGTAAATAGCTATATTTCTGTGTTGGTGTTGTGTTGTTACTCTGAGTGCATATCCACACCGGGCAAGCTTGAAAATATGCCCGGCCACGGTGGGATTCGATTGGGCTAGTATTGCAAAGGTCGTAGGTTCGAATCCCACCGTGGCCGGGCATATTTTCAAGCTCACCCAGTGTGGATATGCACTCAGAGTAACATCGCAAATATAGCTATATTTCTATTTAATATCCAGACAACCCCTGAATGTTGCTGAGGGCCTGTTCATATGATCCCGCTTACCGGGACGTCTCGCTTACTGGGACGTCTTGCTTACCGAGACGAATATTTCTGTGCGTTCATATGGAATATTTTGTCCCGCTTGCCAAGTTGAAATTACATTGTAGTTCTATAATTAGCGTATGCAAAACTTCTACATTTCAGTCGAGCAATACAAATACTTAGCGATTTTAGTGTTTTTCTTCGTTTATTTACAAGAAAATGTATTGCGTCAGGTGCATATTTAATACTTGTTTACAAAACAAACATAAAACCAAGTAAAAAGTGTTAAATTAAACCGGCAATACTTGTTTGACATAATCCCGGTAAGAGGGCTGGCATGTTCATATGGAAAAATTTTCATCCCGCCTACCTATGATCTCGGCAAATTCAAACGAGATCTCGGCAAGCGGGCCAGCTCGCTTTCTCATGTGAACACAATTTGCAAAATTTTATAGGAAAATAGATAGGCGGCGAGATCATCGCTAAGCGAGACGTCCCGGTAAGGGGGATCATATGAACAGGCCCTCAATCCCCTGAATACATTGAGGATACTGGATACATGTTTGAGTTTCTCATAGTTTAATGCCTCTGAGAATTTCCAGGCTCAAAATATTATACATAAAGAAACTTTTAAGGGGCGACATCCATATTCATGTTGCCACAAATAACATTGAATCAACATTATGAGTGGGTGGGTTTTTATGTGAACTTATCAACGTTATCTCATGGCAATTTGACAATTAATGTCCAAAGTATAACTATAAAGTCAAGATACAGCTGAATATTGATTGACATTATAATTTGATAATTGAAAAGGACATTGGTTTTCCAATTAGTTGTATGATTTGTAAGGGAGAATAACAACAGCTTCTGGTTCAGTTTCTGTGTAATTAGTGTTAAGGCCGAGATGGCACATCTCTTAGCCGCCCTGGACAAATGACTCATTTGACACAGATAACACTGTTATGCAGCAATTGTTCTTTCTTGAAGTTGGAAGTTTTTAATTAATAAACCCTTCTTTCTCAGACTTACATACATTTTTGGTAGATTTTTTATAATTTGATAATTCAAAAGGACATTGGTATTCCAATTAGTTGTATGATTTGTAAGGGAGAATAACAACAGCTTCTGGTTCAGTTTCTGTGTAATTAGTGTTAAGGCCGAGATGGCACATCTCTTAGCTGCCCTGGACAAATGACTCATTTGACACAGGTAACACTGTTATGCAGCAATTGTTCTTTCTTGAAGTTAGAAGTTTTAATAAACCCTTCTTTCTCAGACTTACATATATTTTTGGTAGATTTTTTATAATTTGATAATTGAAAAGGACATTGGTTTTCCAATTAGTTGCATGATTTGTAAGGGAGAATAACAACAGCTTCTGGTTCAGTTTCTGTGTAATTAGTGTTAAGGCCGAGATGGCACATCTCTTAGCCGCCCTGGACAAATGACTCATTTGACACAGGTAACACTGTTATGCAGCAATTGTTCTTTCTTGAAGCTGAAAGTTTTAATAAACACTTCTTTCTCAGACTTACATATATTTTTTGGTGTAGATTTTTTATAATTTGATAATTAAAAAGGACATTGGTTTTCCAATTAGTTGTATGATTTGTAAGGGAGAATAACAACAGCTTCTGGTTCAGTTTCTGTGTAATTAGTGTTAAGGCCGAGATGGCACATCTCTTAGCCGCCCTGGACAAATGACTCATTTGCACAGGTAACACTGTTATGCAGCAATTGTTCTTTCTTGAAGTTAGAAGTTTTAATAAACCCTTCTTTCTCAGACTTACATATATTTTTGGTAGATTTTTTATAATTTGATAATTGAAAAGGACATTGGTTTTCCAATTAGTTGTATGATTTGTAAGGGAGAATAACAACAGCTTCTCGTTCAGTTTCTGTGTAATTAGTGTTTAAGGCCGAGATGGCACATCTCTTAGCCGCCCTAGACAAATGACTCATTTGACACAGGTCACACTGTTATGCAGCAATTGTTCTTTCTTGAAGTTAGAAGTTTTAATAAACCCTTCTTTCTCAGACTTACATATATTTTTGGTAGATTTTTTATAATTTGATAATTGAAAAGGACATTGGTTTTCCAATTAGTTGTATGATTTGTAAGGGAGAATAACAACACTTCTGGTTCAGTTTCTGTGTAATTAGTGTTAAGGCCGAGATGGCACATCTCTTAGCCGCCCTGGACAAATGACTCATTTGACACAGGTAACACTGTTATGCAGCAATTGTTCTTTCTTGAAGCTGAAAGTTTTAATAAACACTTCTTTCTCAGACTTACATGTATTTTTGGTGTAGATTTATTATAATTTGATAATTCAAATGGACATTGGTTTTCCAATTAGTTGTATGAATGGT